TTTGGGAGCTATGCAATGTTCATTACTCCTCGAGCTCTGACCCAGAAACGTGTTGCATGGTTTATAAAAAGACCTTTTTATAACTTCCATGACTGTTTGGCTTTCCCTTGCACAACTAGCACTTTAGTGATGCTGAGCACATAGTAGGTATTCAACAAATAGTTTAATTAATGACATGATTTATACATAAAACATGAGGAATATTATGCAAAATCTCTGACTTCTTAAGACCAGCTGAGGTGAAGTAGTGTTAAAAGCAATGAACACAGGTCTCTGAGACTGAAGTGAATAAAGGCTAGTAGGCGATCCATGTTGAAACTCTTCTGTGTTCTAAATATTGCTCTCACTCAACTGCAGACCAACTACACCTTTAGGCTCCCATGTCATCACCTGCACATGAATTTTACTATGCATGAGGTAGGAAGCCCATTTAAATAATGTATTAGAAATGGGGAGGTTTAATCTCTGTAATGGTCATCAAGAACTAGTTTATATACATTTAAATATTTCACTTTCATTCCTATCTACTATAAATGGGAATTATGAGTATGTTCCCTGAGACATATTTCCTCTAGAAATCATACATTTTCAGCTAAGATCTAGAGTTCATTCTTTTGGGTGGATGAACTATCTCCAATGTCTTTGGGTAACACAGATGTCTGAAATTCAACTTCTGAAAAGTAATGTCTTTTAAAAAGCATATACTATTAATTTCCAAAATATGATTTCTAAAAAAAGCTCATTTTTATTTCTTTCTATCGTAAAGGGACAGACAGATGCACACTCACATAGCTAAGACAAGCATTCTTGACACTGTCTCATGTCACAAGCCCACCCACCATCAGCAGCTGTGATCATGGGTACAAGCACGTGCCTAGCACATACAGTCAACCTATGAACTGAACCCTGACCTTCCACCCAGCATCCAGCAATGCAGAGCGACCACTGTGCCACCACAGCTGGACAAAAATATGCTACTTTTTTCAGTGAAAATACCACGGCTGAGCAATTATGGGCAGAACCAATGAGCTACAATAAAACGTCAGTTTCATGGGTCAAGCTACATTTCTGAAAATCTGACCTCAATTTTTCTTTCAGGCTATCAATGAATCTCTCTCTCTATATATATATTATTCATTAAAAAAAAAACACCCTATAGACCTTTATTTCCAAGGATCACCTGAATACCATTTTGCTCTTTACTGTACCCCACAGTTAACAATTTACAATCACAGGATGAGTTCTCTTGGATTAAGACGGCAGTCTAGGTATGGATGGTGACAATGCACCTCTCATGACATCTGGCTCAGCCCTGTTCCCATCACTGCCTTTCCTGACACTAAGAGGTCAACAATAAAGAGTGGAAAGTGGAAACTGACCCTGACCACAAGCATATGTCCCTCTTCCCACAACTCTAGCCGGTCACCTTCCCAGATCACTCAGGCAGGACATACCTCTGTGGTGCAGCTCACTTCTCAAAGACGTGGAAAAGAGAAAACACTTTTATTATCGTAAAGATATTATTTCTTGACATACCCTCAGGACCTGGAAGGTGGTCTGGCAATAAATTGTTAGCCACTGTGAATAAAGGAAATCCTGTTCTCCCCCCGAGACAGTTCCTTGCCATTTTCTTGTTTCTGAGGCAGTGGGTCTGTGTACCGAGCTCCTACACTTTCCCAGTCACAGCAGGTGGTAGGAGACAGATCAAAGGGAAAACATGGAGACAGAGAGACCAGGAGAATTTAATAAGTTTTACTTAAATCCCAAAAGAAACGACACTACCCTGATTAATTTGTCACCAAATTCCTCCCTTTACTCTCTTTCACACAATCTGCGGTGACCTCCCCATAGCAGGGTAAGGCAGAAACTGAGGGCCCTCACCCATCCACTAGCAGATGTATATCAGACCTCGAGATTCACCAAAAACTCCAAGGTTTTTATTTTCACTTTTAATTATCTTTTACTTAATAATAAAATGAAAAATAAGAATATATGAATACATACAATCTATATACATATATTTATTGCAAATACTTAAAATTCTTATGTAAAATGATTTTTCTATATTTGTGAAAAAATATGACTTTTAAAATGGTGTTGACACCAACTTCTCTATACATACCCTCAATTCCAATGTTAACAATTCCTTTAAAAAGGCAAAAGACACAAAAGTTTAGCATTTACCAAACCAATCTGTACAAATCTTACAGCCAGAGGGGAAAAAATAGCTTGTGGTAAATAAGCCAACTTTCTCTTAAAATAAAAAATAAACCCCAAACAAGTCCCCTTATTGCATTTTTTGGAAATCTGAGTGTCTTTAGAGCAACTTCCTTTGAAATAATTTGTGCCTTAACAGTGAGGTCCTACATTAAACATACCATATATGAGAAATTCAAAGTTTTCCACTGTCACTTTTTACATAGATATTAAAATATATATTACTTAAAATATATTACTGGAAAGCTATTTTTAAAATTGATCTTTAATAGTTGTATCAAATGTAAAGCATTAAAAAAAATAAAGTAACCAAGAATCTATGAAGCTATTGCTTCGACTTCAGGAAATGGTTTACCTACTGTTCTCTTTCAATAGGTTTGTATGTACTGAAACATGGTAGGAAAGGTCCCTGCCTATCACATGTTTCTCAAAGTCTCTTTGGACTATTCTAGAAATTGAGCTGCAAACTACCCTTGCCCAAGTTTTTGACTCAGCATATTGTTGTAAAGCATCAGGGAGACTTTTCCCTCCTTGCTAGGATATGAAACCTCTAGGTCAAAGAGAAAGCAACCCTGGCACTGCACACTGACAGTGAGTTCTAGAAATAAAGAGCAGTGTAATGACCACAGACGACCTCCATCATCATAACAAGTCACTTTACCCAAGAGTTAAGGGTCTCCAAGAGGGGGAGAGGGGATCAGAAGCAGGTAGGCTGTTAACGCTCAGGTTATTTCACTGTGTGGCCTTGCACCTTCACCTGAAGTCAATGAGGTCTTCCTCTGGCTACTTAACTGAGATAAGCTCGAACACATCTACATCCGTGTGCATTCCCAACCCACATGATTCTGTCCTCCCCACCCCAAGAAAAATCTGCCAGTGGCCAGCTCTTACTCTTAAGAATCCCATATGCAGCTTCAGCATCCTGAGCATAGTGGTTAACAAACAGAAGTAGAGCAAATGACTCCAAGTTATTTGGCTTTATTTTCTGTTTAACAGGATGGAGAATTTTAATTAAAATCCTTTCTGATTTGGGGGCCTTCTCTATTAGAACACTTATAAATAAGACAGAGATGGTATATCATCAATGCTCTCTCCCAAGGTGACCTGCAGTGGAGGTCACAGAGTGTGCACCTCAGGCTTTGCACCAGGCCCAGTGCTGACTAGTGTCTGGAAACTGTGCCACCCAATACCTTAAAAACAAGCTTAACACTTACTAAGACATTTTGGATTGAACTGAAAGGTAAAACAATTCAAAAGCTAAGATAAAAATTGCTATTAAGTATTGGAGTCTCATACTCTTTAATAATTTACTGCATTTTCGGAAGGGCCAAGTTGTAACCACATGATTCTGTCCTCCCCACCCCAAGAAAAATCTGCCAGTGGCCAGCTCTTACTCTTAAGAATCCCATATGCAGCTTCAGCATCCTGAGCATAGTGGTTAACAAACAGAAGTAGAGCAAATGACTCCAAGTTATTTGGCTTTATTTTCTGTTTAACAGGATGGAGAATTTTAATTAAAATCCTTTCTGATTTGGGGGCCTTCTCTATTAGAACACTTATAAATAAGACAGAGATGGTATATCATCAATGCTCTCTCCCAAGGTGACCTGCAGTGGAGGTCACAGAGTGTGCACCTCAGGCTTTGCACCAGGCCCAGTGCTGACTAGTGTCTGGAAACTGTGCCACCCAATACCTTAAAAACAAGCTTAACACTTACTAAGACATTTTGGATTGAACTGAAAGGTAAAACAATTCAAAAGCTAAGATAAAAATTGCTATTAAGTATTGGAGTCTCATACTCTTTAATAATTTACTGCATTTTTCGGAAGGGCCAAGTTGTAATTTTTTTTTTTCTTTTTCTATTCAGCTTGTAAGTTGAATGGCTTTCTACTTGAAACTACCACTTTGAAACACATTGATAAATGGATTGGTATTCAATTTACTATCATCCAGTCAAGACTGAGGCAGTGTGCCTCGTGGTAATTTCTATTTATGAAGTATTCCTAAATGCAAATATTGTGCTAAGCTTTATTTGTTAAGAGAATGTGGTGAATAGTAATAATTAGGAACTAGCTGCAGGAGCCTGGGTCAGGACAAAGAGGTACAGTATGGTTTGCTCTCTAAATGGAAATCCCTGACACTTCGCCTCCTTTCCTGGTTACAGTCTCTCTACCCTCAGATTAAGGGACCATGGAAGAAAGCCTTTCTGACAAAAAAACAGCAACGATCACTTCATCAACCCAAATTGGTGACTGACATTTAGCATGGGGTCCATTCTGAAATACCCAACCTCTTGCAGCACACAGACCGGGCCCTCAGTCTTGCCACTAAGGTGAAGAGTAAAGAAGCTGGGCCCAGAGGGGAGTCTCAGCCTGCAAGAGGTCTTTTAGAATGCTATCCAGGGTACTGAAAGTTTGGGAGCAGAACTGTGGTTTCTGTTTCCTACTGGTTCCTGGCTCAAGACCTTCTGCCTTTTCCCCTGAGTCCTCGCAGCCCTCTCATCTTTTAGCTCTGTGGGTGCTGGAGGAAAAGGGGAGGAAAGAAGGGCATCCTATTGTCTCAGCTGAAACTGGAACACCGATTAAACTTTTATTTGCCTTGGGCCACCAAAAAATAAAAAAAAGGGCAGAGAAGAAAAATGGGAAATGGTGACGCGAGTTTCTCACGGGGTTTGGCGCAGGATCCGTGGCAAGCACCAGGAGTGCTGACGTGGAGGTGGGGGTGGGGAGTGGCAGAACGGGGACGAGACATTACCATTGCCGACTCTCTCCTAATCTGGAATGTGACTTAACCAACACACTTCAGTTGTTACGTACTTTAAAAATATCACCTGCTGAAATTTAAGTACAACTATGACTGCACTAGTCTGCGCTATTTTTACTTTACACACTTCAAATTAGGAGACTTGAAATCAATATGCAAACAATAGAGATCGACTAACTCCGATTAAATACCTAATTCTGGTAAAACTGTAGGCTTATTTTAATGTTCTTTAACCATGACCTAAATACGTACTCGAAAATTCTTCAGACACTAGAGAAGGGTTTAAAAAGCAACAAAAAAGGAAGCAAAAATAAAACTTTAGAGCTAATTTTTCCTCCTTTCCAGACATCCCCCTAACCATTCACCAAAGCCGTTTTACGTTAGAAATTCCTAGTGTCCAGGCAGCAGTAATCCAAACAAGGACCTATTTTCTAAAACACAAAACGTGTCTTCTACTGTGCGTGTACGAGTGTGCATACACGGGTGTTTACAGACAGATATAAGATTACTCGGTCCTTCTCAGGGGCCTGGGAGGTCAATATAGATTGAACAGAATGAGTAAATGTGGCAATAATAAGCTTTTTTACCTGTGACCACAGCTAATCATAGAATATTAGGTTAATGGATTGCAAGAGACCAGGAAGAGAGGGACTACCTTGTATCTAGTGTTAAAACCATTTCCCAAAGTTCTTTCAGTTCAGTTTAACAGTTTCTGCAGTTTCATTTCCCTGGTCCAAAAAGAGTGTCCCAATCATCCCATCACTAACGATTTTCTGCCTCTTGAACAAACCCTGTTTGTGAGCACCCGTGAATGACCAAGTGCAGGGACTGCTGCTGCAACTGTTGCCCTGCACAGGTGCAGCCACACAGTGGGGCCCAGAAGGCGCCCCCTTCAGACCACATTCATCGTCTCAGGGCTGGGGCATGAGTGCGACGTGGGGAGGTAGGACTAGGAAACGGCAGGGATCCACCAATAGCGCACAGGGCTTGGCAACACTACCGGTTTACAGAAGCCAAGAACCAAGTCAGAGCTGTTAAGAGTATGAAACATTACCTGTGAAATTAACCCCTTATCAAAAACCTCAACTTAAAAAGAGTTCACTGAAAGCAAAGGGACTCAGTAAACTCTGTGTCCAAATCCTGCAAAGGCTGCACAACCTACAAATAACCTGCAGCTGCACTGCCATGGTTGTCAGTGAGCAGCCACTTCTTCAGATGATATCCTTCACTCCTTCCTTTTCCTGGCCTATGAGGACTGGTCAGAAGGGAGACAGCTTCCTTTCGTCATGGATGGCATAAAACTTTCGCAGACACATGGAGTGAAACATAAATCTGAATTCAAAGTAAATACATTATTACCTAAACACCTGAAAAATAATGTTAAAACAAAATGTGACATATTTACATGATTTTGTAAGTGCAAACTTGTCACAAACTCGCAAAGTCTTGCTTGACTTAGACTTAACTATACAAGGTGCTCTTCCTCTAAAACCCACAAGATCTGTACTCCGTATTCCTGATTAAGTAACATCTGTCTTTTAAGATAACAGAAGCCTACTTGTTTATTTCTGTGATTCCAAAAGGATGCAAAAAACACATCTTGTCAACCCTTCCCTTCCCCCTCCTTCGCCATGTGTCTCTTTCTAGTCTTGTTACCGAACTACAAGGCATGAGACGCACAGTTTGGAGGGGCCAATGCAATCGTCATGGCAGAAAGCTCCACACCCCTTGCACATGATCATGGCTTTCAACCGGCAGTAACATTTTGAAGGCGTGTCTTCTATGCTGTTCTCTTCGGGAAAGGCCTGCACAGGAATGGTCTGGCCATGGCTGCTGGGATTCAAAGCTTGGCTAGCAGGGATGGTAGTGACAGTCACTGAAAAGGACATGACATCACCTACGTTGCTAGATACCTGGCTACCTGGTCCAGCAGAGTTGTGGTCCATGTCAGACGAGGTGGAGACATTGATCATGCCTCTGTAGCTGGCCCCTATCTGTGTGGGGCTTCCATACAACTTTGGGGTCTGCAGTGGTGGAAGGAGCAAAGGCTGACGTGTAGGACTGTCTGCAGGCAGCGGAAGGGCAGAAACGAACAGCTCAGGGCTGCTCTGCATGGTCTTACCTCTCACTGCATGAGTCATCTGCTTCTGGGCCGCCTGGATACAATCTCTGGCTAGGGCCTTCTCATCAAACATCTGGCCTCTTGAAAACAGGTAACTCTCCTTGCTGACAGTGGTCTGTTCGTTCACTGGTGTCTCGGCCTTCACACCCTTGTTAGTGAGGCAGTCACTGGTGGACAGAGGCTCCCTACTGTAGGGCCCTGAATTTGCATCACACTTGCCAGAGCTCTGGGAAGCCTGGGGCTCCTCCTTCACCACGGTAGACTCCTGCTCATCACCAGCACTCTCCTCATCAGTATCCTCTTCTTTGCTGCTGCTGCTATCTCTGGTTGCATTCTTACAGTCTGTATATCCCATTTTTGAGGCTTCAGTGGGGCTATTTAGACAAAAACGGTCTTCAGGGTTTACAGACTGGGTCCTCCTAAAGCTCTCTGAGCCCCGGCCATAGGTGGAAATATTAAGTAAGTAGTGACCTGCCATGGCAGGCTTGGATGTCCTCCTGCCGGCAAAACCCAGCATAAACCTCTGGCTTGTGGAGATATCTTCTGACTGGAAACCTGAGTGAGCGAAGCTGAACTGGGAGGGCGGCATAAGTGAGGGGACGTTCTGTCTTCGAACCCTTTGGATGAGGGTCTGAAGGATCTGATCTTGGGTTGCTTTGCTTAGTCCTTCTTGGTATTTGTGTGCGTCAAGGCTAGAGTCCCTCAGGTCCTTGGCTGAAAAGACCTGGAGAGGCCTAGGAACCTGGGGGAGCTGCTTACTTTGCAAAGTTTTGCCCAGCTGCTGGCTGGCTGGATGGGACTGCCTCTCACTTCCTTCCTCTCTGGTGCTATATTCTGCTGTGATGGCACCCGGGAGCGCTCCCATCCCCTTTTCTTCTTTTGTAGTCAGCGGGACAGTTTTCATTTCAACTTTGGTGAGAGGTTTAGGCAGAATTTGCTCCATGGGAACATCTTTGCCCTGGAGCAACTGAGTAACTAAAGGATTATTAGCAGGGATACTAGAGCTTGGTCTTGAAATGGGTCCATTCAGATTTGAAGAAGTTCCTGGGGTTTTAAGGCTAGAAGCTGCTGGCAAAGCGCTCGAGGATGGAGCTGAACCAGTAGGCGCTGCAGTTACACCAACCTGGGGTGCAGAAAGCTTTTCTAAAGGGGCTGTTGTTAACAGAGATGTTAAAGGAGAGGGAGTCATGTCTGCAAGAGCACTAGCACTTGCCTTTGCTGAGGCTGAAGGGTTTGGTGTATTCCTACTAGAACCTACTCTGGGCTCAACTAAGCCACCGGCTATGAAATTAACTGGTGAGGCACCTGAGATTAGAGCAGGACCTGGGGCTGGAGAAGGTGCTTTCTCCTGTCTACAACTACTGGGCCCTTGTGGGTGGCTAAGAGAGGGCCCTGTAGCTGCTGCCCTGCTAGAGTTCAGTCTGTCATTATTCGGTTTCTCTATGTGGGTGGGTGATGGGACACTTGTGCATGCTCCACTGACGGCAGGTGTTGGAGGCACTGAGGGGGTTTGCTGTAGTTGTGCTCCAGGGACACGATGAGGCTGTGCTGGGCCTGAGGTCTTGGTCTCAGACTGGGGCTGAGTCTCGGGACCACAGGGTAAAAGCTCTCTCGTACCTCCCCTGCTTCCAGTTCCTGCCAGTTCCAGTGTGGGGCCCTTTCCAGTTTCACTGACTCTGTTTGAGCCTGGACTCCCTCCTCTGGCAGTCTGCCTTTCACCACCCTCTCCCGGACCCTGTCCACCCCCTGGGCCAGGTCCTGGAATGGTCCCTCCAACTGCGGCGGCTGCAGCAG